TCTGCCACAACTACCCAAAAAGCACATGTTTCCGGTTCATCTTAAACCGCTGAAATTCAAACAGTGTTTGGCTAGTTTTAGCGCAGGGCCTTGTGCAGGGGAATGTTAATCCACAAATTGCAGACAGGAAGTCACTATAAAATAAGCAGAGATCACACTGGAATAGTGTAAAATCCCCAATAAAACTGTAAAAAAACTGCATGTAAATTAGTGCACCCAAATGTCAAATTTTCAAATCTGTTTTTATGGCTCTGTACTCATCGCTGTATTACTAATCTTCACGCAGCTGTGTTCATAAACAATAACAGGTGTGACTGTGTTCTGATCTGTAAAAACGTGGCATTTTTTACTTCAATGTGCAAGAGGCCTTTTGTAGCGCCCTCTAGCTCAGTGTTTCTCAAACTTTTTACACTTGGGGCGCCCTTGAAAAGTATTTTTAGTCGCGAGGCACACCTGTCCAAGGCTTTGTTCCCGTTACTGTGTTATCGCGGAACGCACGCAAAATTGTGCTCATTCCTGACATGCAGACAAATACTCTGCTCTTTAGGGGTACCCCATACTTTGGCAAACGTGGGGTGTTTTTGGTGTGGTGCAATTTTAAAACTAAGGTCAGGGTGGACTTTTCCTGCATTTCTGCGGGTAAGGCAGCCCATTGAAATGAATGGGCTGCCCTACTCACAGCCACACAGATGTGAACCAAGGGTCTGTTCACCTGTGAGGTTGGAGGGCAGTAAAACCACGCAATTGAGCTGCTTTTTCCACCCCCAACTGCTCCTCCTTTAGCTGCAGAAACACATGCTGTTGCCGCAGCTGTAAGTGAATTGGGTTGAACTACAACCACCCCTCAACTGTGTGCACATTCCACGCAGTTGTGTGTGGTGACTGATGCCAATCTCCAGGCAGGAGGCCTGGCATGGTGGCTAGGACAGCCCTTAAATGTGGGTGAGCCTGAACAGCAGGGGGAGTGGGGTTGAAGATGGATTGAAGGAAGGTGCTGGTGTGTGGAGCCTGGGAACCGACTCCAGCTGAGGGGGGCCTTCCTACAGGCTGAAGCTGAACAGAAGAATCCCCACTGTCCCACAGTCTACTGGGAAAGACAGCCTGTCAGCAAGGAAGGAGCCAGCCCAGCGTAAGGCCTGAAAGCAGCTGCCACCCACTAAGGCTCAGGAAAAGGACATTGTGAGTATTTCTACACCACCTGAAACAAAGAAGAGAGAGGGCAGTCAGGCACAATACCAAACTAGTTCTTACTGGAACTACTTCACTGTAGATCTTGGAATCCCTTGCTTAGGGACACTCTCAAGACAGCTGGGTGGATTAGGAGATTTGCATCTGGGGTCTGAAGAGTTTTACCAAAGGGGACATGGTGCTCCTTACTGGGCTGGTTGCTGATTTTATTTTTTTTGTCCATTTTTGTGGAGAAGTTCGTCCTCAAAGTTGTAAGTTCGCCATCCAAGTTCTTAACCCCTAATGAAAACATCAAAACCAAGCTTAACCGCTTGCTGACCAGCCACAGTAGATATACTGCGGAAGGGTGGCACCGCTGTGCAAAATCACGTATATATATATCTGATTTTGCATTTCAGGTGGGGGGGGGGCGCGCACGAGGCCCTACCCGCGCTGCCGATCGCAGCCATGGGTGTCAATCACCGGGTCCCGGCTGGTGATTACCCGCCGGAGCCAGGTGATTACTGGCAAAAACTGACAGGGAGGGCGGCTGCATTGTTTTCAATGCAGCTCTCCTCCCTGTCAGTTTGGGCATACTGATTGGGATGGTTGAGCTCAGCCTTCCGAATCAGTGTGATTACAGTGAAGCACCCCCCCAATGAAACACTCCCCTCACACAGTTAATCCTTTGATTGCCTTCTAATGGTAACCTCTTCCTTCCCAGTGCCATTAGTGCAGTGGCAGTGTTTTTTTTTTTTTGCACTGTTCACTGTATTGGTGTCACTGGGGATGTCAGTAACCCCAAGTCTGTTCCCCCAAAGTGTCAGAATGTCCGCTGCAGTCCCACCATAAGTCGCTGATCACCGCCATAAGTCGCTGATTGCCGCCATTATTAGTATAAAAAAAATTTCCAGTATATATACCTCCATTTGTTGACGCTATAACTTTCACATAAACCAATTAATTTACACGTATTGGGATTTTTTTTTTAGCAAAGACATGTCACAGAATACATTTTGGCCTACATTTATGACAAAATTAGATTTTTAAAATTTTTTACTAGACATGTTTTATAGCAAAAAGTCCAAAATATTGTTTTATTTTCTCAAAATTGTAGGTCTTTTTTTTTATAGCGCAAAAAATAAAAAATGCACAGGAGATCAAATACCACCAAAAGAAAGCTCAATTCTTGGGGAAAAAAGAATGTAAATTTCATTTTGGTGCAGCGTTGCATGACTGTACAATTGTCAGTTAAAGTAACGTAGCACCGTAACACAAACCGCTTTTGTAACCGCTTCCTGACTGCCCTATAGCAGAAATACTTATACAGAAAAAGGGATGGGCTGTGACATCACAGACCATTCCAGGATGGCGAGTATGCACACAGCATGCTGTGTTTGGCTTGTCTAAAGAGATTTTACCAAAGCGGTTTTTATACAGATTAAATGTGAGTGCATTTGGGCACTTAATAAAGCACTTTTTATAAAAAGAATAAGGCACTATTTGTTACTTTCTTTTTTACTGAGGATGTATCAGAGGAGGAGTAGCTGTATGGGAGAGAGATCCCAGGAGGCATATGAGACGGGGATCCGGATGAGAGATACCCACCATACCTCACATAATGCAATAAATGTTCCTACTAGTGAACAAAAGCGCACTAAGCCTGCTATAGGCTATTAACCACTTGCCTACCAGGCACTTATACCCCCTTATTTACCAGGCCAATTTTCAGCTTTCAGCGCTGCCGCACTTTGATTGACAATTGCGCGGTCATGCAACATTGTACCCATATGAAATTTTGATCATTTTTTTCTCACAAATAGAGCTTTCTTTTGGTGGTATTTAATCGCCGCTGGGTGCTTTACTTTTTGCGCTATAAATATAAAAATTGCAAAAAATTTGAAAAAAAAAAAAAAACGTTTCTTTGTTTCTATTATAAAATTTTTCAAACAGGTATTTTTTCTCCTTCACTGATGTACGTTGATGAGGCAGCACTGATGGGCACCGATAGGCGGCACTGATAGGCAGCACTAAAGGGCACTGATAGACAGTACTAATGAGGTGGCACGGATAGGCGGCACTGATAGACAGCACTAATGAGGTGTCACGGATAGGCGGCACTAATATGCAGCACTGATAGGCGGCACTGATAGGTGACATTGATGATGGGTACTGATAGACGGCACTGACTGGCATCACTGCTGGGCACTGACTGGCACAACCCCTGGGCACTGACTGGTGGCACTGACTGGCAGCACTGCTGGGCTGCACTGGTGGGTGGCACTGGTGGGCAGCACTGGTGGGTGGGCACAGGTGCGTGGCACTGGTGGGCACAGGTGGGTGGGCACAGGTGGGTGGCACTGCTGGGCACAGGTAGGTGGCACTTCTGGGCACAGGTGTGTGACACTGCAGAGTGGCACAGGTGGGTGCACTGCTGGGCACAGGTGGGTGCACTGCTGGGCACAGGTGGGTGATCTGCTGGGCACAGGTGGGCGGAGCTAGTGGGCGCACTGCTGGGCACAGGTGGGTGGAACTTGCGGGTGGCACTGCTGGGCACCGATCATCAGGGTACTGATCATCAGTGCCCTGATGATCGGTGCCGATCCCCGCTCTGACAACTGCCGGTTCTCGGCAGTACTTTCCTCACGATCTGACAGCGTGAGGAAAGTGCAGCCGAGAACCGGCACTTGCATTTCCCTCTGATCAGCGTGTCATTGGACACCGCTGATCACGTGGTAAAAGGCCGCTGTGATCGGCCTTTTACCACATCACGTGATCAGCTCTGTCCGTAGGACACAGCGATCACGGAGATCGCCGGGTGCGCGCCCCCTGGGGCGCGCAGGAGAGCGCGTTCTGGGAGGCCTTCATATGACGTCCACCCAGAACTGGCCGGCCGCAGTGCAGCCGTCATTCGGCTATCTGCGGTCGGCAACTAGTTAAAGAGAGGTTATATTGAAAGGAGAAGGAGTAGATGCATGAGAGAGAGATCCCAGGAGGGATACAAGACAGGGAGCTGGCTGAGAGATACCCACCATACCTCATACTATGCAACAAATGTTCTTATAAGTGAACAAAAGCGCATTAAGGCTGTTACAGGCTATCAAGGAGGTGAGCGTACATCTAAATCACATTAAGGAAGTCACCTATATATTTTTTCATTTCACTTGAACCACTGGGAGTTGTCACCATCACTAAACAGAGACTTTTGTTATTATATGTTATGTATTGGATTCATTTGATCACATCAGTATTTTTGTGTTTGATTTGGGTATATGATTTAGTTTAATATGTATTTTTTATTAACGCTGTATACACTATTGCATTTAGAATTGGAGTACGACATTCAGTTTATTTAGTTTTTTGGGTAATTTTGCACATATAGAGGATGTGTTGGATGTCAGCGAACCAGTAAATATATCTTAAAATCGGTGGCTCACAAGTAACAATCCTTTTTTATAGCAGAAATCCCTACAGGGCAGCACGGGTGTGCAAAATCACATATATATATATATATATACATGATTCGTACTCCCGTGGTTTTCACGCCCCTCCCAGATAGCATCAGATTGCCTGTCAGTACACCAGTAATCACATTTAACCCCTTGATTGCCAGGAACATGCTCATACACAATAAAACTCCATTGCTTGTAAAGTGTCTGAACGGATCAATATCATTGATCAGATCAGCACTATACCAGCGTTCACATTAGTAGTGTCCCCAAAAACGCAGCGCTAGCGGGATCAGCCCTGGCACCGGCCAGCACCTGCGTTTAACCCCTATGCTTACCCCCCCTTCTCCCCCCAGCAAGTGCAGTGTCAGTAGGTTACTGTCACTTGATACATTGCACACAAAACCACAGTGTTCGCAGAATCAGGCCCGATCTCTGTTAGCACTTGCCGGTAAATTTTGATGACTCTCATATGCAGCACAGTGCCAGTACTAGTGCCACGCTACCTTTTGGTGAACTGGTGAGCACCAGTGGCCTAGTGCATCTTGGTCTTTCACATACCAGCACTGCAGTATCACTTAGTGAGGTGGCGAGTCCCACAAGCTGGTGCGGTGGCAAGCACAAGTAGTGTCCCGCAGCCACCAAGAATTCGCAAACAGGCCCATAGAGCCCCTAGCATCCTTCCGGATGTGCTTGCAAATCCTGATTGGCAGCCCACAAATTCTGCAGCACCCATACTTCCCCCTTTCACTGCCCAACCCGGAATTCAGGTGGAAACAGCAAATTTAACTATTCCCCTTGATTTTTTGGAGCTGTTTTTCACGGAATATCTGTTTGCATTGATTGTGGATCAAAGCAATGTATATGCACAATAATTTATTGCTTGCAACCCAAATTCAAACCTTGCCAGACCATTTGCATGAAAACTCATTACGGTTTCCGAATTTAATTTTTTGGGGCCTAACCCTCAACATGGGCATTACTAAAAAAATGAATTGCGGTTGTGTTATGTGCCGCCCGGCGGTATCTCTAGTGAACCACAGAACGGGATTCCCCAGGGCGCCGAGACTTTCTCTGCTCTAGAGACTCCAGGTAGGTTGGGGGCCCTTGTGGATGCAGCCTGTAACTTAGACAGGAGTTCAGACTGTAGCAATAAGAAACTACCTGCCAGCAAGATGGTATCTGGCTTGGGCGTTTCTTCAGGATCTTCAAACATCCGGGAGAGGGCATCGGGCTTGGTATTCTTAGACCCAGGTCAGTAGGTTATATGCAGGGTGAATCTTGAAAAGAATAATGCCCATCTGGCCTGACGCGGTCTGAGGCGTTTAGCTGTCCTCAGGTATTCCAAGTTTTTATGGTCGGTGTAGACCAGAATGGAATGCGAGGCTCCCTCCAACAAGTATCTCCATTCCTCCAATGCCGTTTTGATTGCCAATAACTCCCGATTTGCGATGTCATAATTCCTTTCTGACGGGGTAAGCTTCCTACAAAAGAAGGCCACTGGGTGCATAAGCTCCTTTACCCCCACCCTTTGTAGACAATATTGCTCCCACTGCGTTTTCTGACGCATCAACCTCTAAGATATAAGGCAGTGAAACATCGGGGTGACTTAGGATAGGAGCTGCAGTGAACAGCTTCTTCACGGACTCAAAGGCGGCCTGTGCCACTGGGGTCCAATGAAAGCTTACCCTTGTCTTCGTAAGTTGGGTGATGGGAGATACCAGGCCTGAGGAATTTTTGATAAATTTCCTGTAGAAGTTGGCGAAGCCAATAAATCGCTGAACCCCTTTCTTATCTGTGGGGACCGGCCATTCTAAGATCGCAGAGATCTTCTGGGGATCCATAGCAATTCCAGTGGTGGAAATGATCAGCCCCAGGAATGGAATACGGTGCTGTTTGAAGCTACACTTCTCCGCTTTGGCATAAAGCCCGTGCTGGTGAAAACGCTCCAGCACGCTCCTGACGCTCCAGAGATGAGGAAAAAATCAGAATATCATCTAAGTACACGATCACAAAGATATCCAAGAAATCTCTAAAAACATTGTTCACAAAGTGCTGAAACGTGGCCTGTGCATTACATAACCCGAATGGCATTTAAAGTGCCCGAACCGAGTGCGGAAAGCGGTTTTCCACTCATCCCCTTCGCGTATGCGGACCAGATTGTAAGCCCCCCTAAGATCTAGCTTGGTAAAAACAGATGCCGACTTTAACCTTTGAAACAATTCAGGGACTAAGGGAAGGGGACTATCCCTATAGTCAACACAGGGCCTCAGGGACTGGTCTTTTTTTTCTACAAAAAAGATTCCGGCCCCAGTTGGTGATGTGGAAGGGCTTTCATCAATATACTCCTTCAAAGCACTCAACTCCCGCTTTGACGGGAAAGATTCGGTCAAAGGAAATCTCAGATCCCGGAAGAAGGTCAATGGGACAGTCGTAAGCCCGACGCGGAGAGAGCATGTCTGCTCCACATGGACTGAAAATGTCAAGGTAATGATGATAAGCAATAGGAACAGTTTGAGTTAGCTCAGTGTTCTCACATAACAGAGTCAGGGTGTCTAGTGGTGACCCTAGAAAACAATGCTCCTGACAGTAGGGTGACTGGAACTGGACAGACCCGGTTCTCCAGTTAATTTGGGGATCGTGTGCTCGTAGCCAGGGGAGCCCCAAAATGACTGGAAATAAAGGGGATGCAATGGCGTCTAAGTGGAGAAGTTCTTGATGATGACCGGCCACTGTGGTGCGTATAGGAGGGGTCTCCCGATCTACCAACCCGGACTTAATTTGAGACCTGTCAGCCAGGAAGATGTTCAGGCCCCGCTCTTTAGGCAGTAACGGAATCTGCTGTTGGGCTGCAAAGCTAAGGTCTATAAAGCAGCTGCAGGCCCCTGAGTCAATAATGGCCGTCACTTGTACGGTTCTTCCAGGGAGCTGGAATGAGATTGGTACGGCTAAATGAGTTGGATTATCTAGGCCAGCAGGAGACATAGCAGAAACAAAAGAAGAGTACTTACAAGACTTCTCCGGACAGAAGCGCACCATATGACCCGCTTCTCCGCAGTAGAGGCACAGATTGTTTATCCGGCGTCTCTGGCGTTCCTCCGCCGTGAGAAAAGGCCGCATCAGTCCGAGCTGCATGGCTTCAGTCCCGTCTGACAGATCTGGGTTCCGATTACTGACTGCGGGATTTGGCAGGACCGGCACCCGTGGTAGCATCCATGTTGGTCTTGGCCCTTGGTTGGACCTCTCTTGCCTCCGTTCCCGCAACCTGCGGTCAATCTGGATGGCCAGGATGATCAAATCTTCCAAGGAATCAGGTACTCCCACTCTTGCCAACTCATCTTTAGGTGGGTCAGACAACCCTAGGCGGAACTGATGGCGCACAGCCGCGTCGTTCCACTGAGTGTCTCCGCTCCAGCGCCTAAATTCAGAGGCGTAATCCTCTGCTGCCCGGCAACCCTGCTGTAAGGTATGTAGAGCTGCCTCAGCTGAAGCAGCTGGTTGCGGGTCGTTGTATTACTGCGCCATCACTTTACAGAATGCAGCAGCTGAGTTCAGGTGTGGATGGCGAGCTTCCATCCGACGGTGTGCCCCGATCTGGGGTTCACCCTGCAGCAGGGATATAATGAACCCTACCTTCACAGACTCTGAAGAAAACGTCTGTGGTTACAGGTCAAAATATAGCTGACAGGAGTTCTGGAAGGCCCTGAACTTCCCTCGATCCCCATTGAAACGCTCCGTTGTTGGTACACGAGGTTCCGGTGGGGGTATGGTGACCATTGCTCTGGTGGGGGTTTCAGTAGGTTCCTGAGCTGGGGTCGAGATTCCTGAGCCTGCCGGCGGAGTTGCTGGCAGGGAGAGGGTCTGAATGCATCCCTCCAGATGCATGTACCCCTCTTGAAGAATCTTGACAGCTTGGGTGAGCGCCGCCAGGAGCTGGCATATGTCGTCCAGCGGAGAGGGGCCTCTTCCAGGCTCAGCCATGGCCGTATGGTTCTGTTATGTACTGCCCGGCGGTAACTCTAGTGAACCACAGAACGGGATTCCCCAGGGCATGGAGTCTAAGCCTCAGTCTGCTTATTCACCAGAGCTCCTGATGGTGGGGATGGACTTGGAGCAGAACTGAGACCAGGTCGCGGCCCCTGGGTACGCCCAACTGAGGTAGAGAGGACCGCCGAAGGTATGTACAGAAGGAGAGCCTGATGTGAAGAGAATGGCAGGCCCTGGACAGTGGCGACTGGATCCGAGCGGGATGGATGGATGGGTGGATGCCAGTATAGAGTATAGTGGGGTCGGACAAGCCAGGTCGATTAACAGCAGAGGTACAAGGCAGTAGACAGAGAGTAACCGGGTCACGAGCAAAAGGTTCGGCAACAGGAGGTCAAATAATTCAGGAGCAGGCAGAAGAGTAGTCAGGGACGAGCCAGGGGTCAGAGCAGGAGATGGTAAACGGATCAGGGTCAGGCAGGGTCGGCAACTAGCAATCTCTCAGGACACAGGATAACAGGAACAGCAGGAAAGACCAACAGGCTCTGGCAATTTGAGTATTGCCAGAGCCTGTTTAAATAGCGTGCCCTGTGCACTCATTGGTGCCAGGCGCGCTTCCGTGAGCACGAGTGCGCATGCGCTGCCGCCGTTGCCGCCGTGGGCACCCAGGTCCTAGCGCCCGCACGCTAGTGCGCCTAGACGGACCACGCATGCGCAGACTCGCGCGCCGCAGTAACTCCTGGAGTCCCTGACAGGTTGTATTGGTCCACATTCATCATATGCCTGTGTTCTCTGCTGCCATGGCCAGGCATAGATATAAGAGTATAATGTGTTTTATGCATTTCAACAACAATACACTCTATCATCCTCGAGGTGACCCTGAATTTGACCAGCTCCACAAAATTCAGCCCTTCGTAAATCACCTTAACCAAAAATTTGCAGATGTCTATACTCCCCAGCAAAACATCTGCGTTGATGAGTCCCTCATTAATTTTTCTGGCCGCCTTGCATTCAAACAATTTCTCCCCAGCAAGCATGCCAGATATGTGGTCAAGATGTATAAGACCTGTGAGAGGGCAACAGTCTATACATATAAGTTTCGGATTTACGAGGGAAAAGATAGTCATGCGGAGCCCCACAGATGCCCAGACTACATGGGGAGTAGTGGCAAGATAGTTTGGGAATTGGTGTCATCCTTTTTCCATATGGGGTACCACTTATACGTGTACAATTTTTATTCAAATGTGCCACTAGACACTTGTGCAATCTTGGACCTGGCACATGTGGCACCATGTGACCTAATGTGTGCCCATCATTAGAAGTTGTTAGGGAACAAGAAGGTCGCCATGGCGCACGAATCTGCACATGCCTAAGATCCTGACAAGACATACAGGCAGGCGGGCACTAGGACCCAGGCGTACCTGTCACCAATGACGGCGCCGGGCAGGCACTAGGACCCAGGCGCGCCTGTCGGCGCCGGGCAGGCTATTTAAACTGGCCATTGCAATGTCCAAGTTGCCGTATGGTCTTGATCCTCTGCTTGTGTTCTGATCCTGTGAGTGTACTTTGTTGGCGAACCCAGCCTGATCCTGATTACTGCTGACCGTCTCCTGCCCTGACCCCTGGCTTGCCTTTGACCACTCTTCTGCCTGCTCCTGATCGTCTGACCTCCTGTTGCTGAACTTGGCCTGTGACCTGACTATCCTCTGCCTGCTGCTCTGTTCCGTTCTGCCTCCACAGTTACCGACCCGGCCTGTCTGACTCCGCTACTTGCTTCACGGTGTGTCCGCATCCATCCATCCTGCACGGATCCATCCGTTTACCACTCAGGTCTGCCCTGCCTCTTCACATCAGGCTCTTATCCAGCTACGTCCCGCTGGCGGTCCTCTCTACCACAGTTGGGTGTACCCAGTGGCCGTGACCTGGTCTCAGCCTGCTCCAAGTCCATCCCCACCATCCGGGGCTCTGGTGAACAAGCAGACTGGGGCTTAGACTCCGCGCCCTGGGGAATCCCGGACTTTGGATCCATAGAGCTACCGTTAGCGAGTACGTGACAGTACCATACAGCCATGACTGAGCCTGGAAAAGGACCCTCTTCTTTGGATGAGATATGCCATCACCTGGCAGCGCTCACCCAGGCCGTTAAGACATTACAGGAGGTATATACACACCTGGAAGAACGTATCCAGACCCTAGCTTCACCAGCTCCCACATCTTCGGATCCGGCTGTTCCCTCCCCTACAAGGGATTCCACTGAACCTCGCACCGTTACGGTGGTCACACTACCTCCACCTGAACCCTGTGTGCCTACGCCAGAATGTTTCAATGGGGATCGAAGTAGATACAGGGCTTTTCAAAACACATGTCAGCTATACTTCGATCTACAGCCACGAACATTCTCCTCAGAATCCGTGAAGGTGGGGTTCATCATATCCTTACTGCAAGGTGAACCCCAGGGTTCGCCATCCACACCTGAATTCTGTAACAACTTTTTTCAACGCGATGGCTCAGTTGTACAATGACCCGCAGCGGGCTACTTCCGCTGAGGCAGCTTTACACGCACTCCGATAAAGTCGCCGAGCAGCAGAGGATTACGCTTCTGATTTCAGATGCTGGAGTGGCGATACTAGATGGAACGATGCAGCCCTACGTCATCAGTTTTGCTTGGGCCTATCTGAACCCCTCAAGGATGAGCTAGCTAGAGTGGGCATACCTGACTCCTTGGAGGACCTAATAGCGTTGGCCATTCAGATTGACCGTAGGCTGCGTGAACGTAGACAAGAGAGGTCCAGTCAAGTCCAGAGGCCTACGTGGGTGCTACCTCGGTTCCCACTCCAGCCCAATCCTCCTGTCAGGAGCCAAGATTCTGAGGTTACTGATATACCTGAGCCAATGCAACTTGGATTGATACGACCATCATTAATGTCAGAAGAACGCCAAAGACGTCGGTTGAATAACCTCTGTCTTTATTGTGGAGAAGCAGGCCATTATGTGCGCTCTTGTCCAGCGAAGTTGAGTAAGTGTCTCTCCATCTCTTCTGCTGTGTCCCCAGCTTGTCTCGATAGCTCAACTCATCTAGCCGTGCCGATTTCATTCCAGTTTCCCGGAAGAACCGTGTCGGTGACGGCAATTATTGATTCAGGGGTCTGCAGCTGTTTCATAGACCTAAATTTTGCAGCCCATCAGCGTATCCCTTTACAGACCAAGGAGCACGGTTTGAGCATCTTCCTGGCCGATGGATCCCGTATTATATCCGGACTGGCAGACTGAGAGACCCCACCAATCCCCACTACGGTTGCCAGCTACCATCAGGAGTTCCTATGTCTGGACGCCATCGCGTCCCCGTTATTTCCAGTCATTTTGGGACTTCCTTGGCTATGAGCGCATGACCCCCAAATCAACTGGAAGATGGGGTCAATCCTTCTTGAAACCAGTAAACCCAAAACAGGTGTGTGTTTTTTAAGGGCAGGACAGCTGTCAGCAACACATCCAATATCATCACACTGATTGGAGTCAAGTCACTCCTGACTCCAATTAGCTCTGGGAGAAGTCATTAAGCTAGGGCCTCACATACTTTTTCCTCCCTGCACTGTGAATGCTTACATGTTATGTGCAATTAAACCATGGCAACATCTAATGTTTGTGTAGTATTATGTTCAGCAGACTGTGTTCTTCTATTGTTGTGACTTAGATGATGTTCAGAGCACATTTTTATGCCCAATTCATGCAAAACTCCACGTAATCCCAAGGGGTTCACATACTTTTTCTTGCAACTGTATACCCAACAAGGACCAGCGACGTACTGGTACATCACTGGACTTTGAATGGTTATACCAGCATGATGCCTACAGCTGCAGTCATCATCCTGGTATCGATTTTATTCAGCCAGCGATTCTTGAAAAAGCAATCCTAGTGACTAATTAGCTGCAGGATTGCTTTTACAAGCAGTGGGAGAAGATGACCCCCTCCCCCGCTGCCTTCCACGGCCTTCTTGGGCAGTCCCGTGCCATCGGGGGAGCCTGAGAATGCAGCCAGTGTTTCTTCCAGCTGTCCATAGAGCTGATTGGAGACCAGAATGATGGCAATCATTTCTATAGTCTAAGAAATCGAAAGCTACAAGCATTTCATCTTTTCAGTTTCGCAGGATATAAACAGTGCCATTTGTAAATTGGGAAAGCATCTGATCACACCGATCTTGGTTTGATTAGATAATGTAAGGGCAGAGGCGAGACCTAGCGTCTGATAGACCCCAGATTTCTCAAAAAAGAATATATGACAATGCCCATTGAAATTATAGGGGATATTTGCATTCCCTGTGATAGCACTAAAAGTGATAAAAAAAAATAAAAGGTACAGTGTAAAAATGATTTAAATTAGCAAAATAACTTAAGAAAAAATTAAAAAAGCACCCTCGCCTCCCCACGCCAGTACACCTGTGTGCTCAAGAGTTGACCCTGTGCCGATATATAAACAGCAGTTGCACCATGCATGTGATGTATCGCCGTAAACGTCAGATCAAGGGCAGTAATTCTAACACTAGACCTCCTCTGTACATCTAAAATGGCAACTTGTAAAGGCTTTTAAAGCGTTGCCTATGAATATTAAAAACGTATGCAGTTTGTCGCCATTGCAAGGAGTCTTACAGCATGTCATGTTTGGTATCTATTTACTCGGCATATCATCATCTTTTATATTTTATAAACATAAATACGCTCAGTGAAAATTAATAAAAGAAAGAAAGAAACCCTTCATTAGATAATAATTTCAAATTAGAGTCCAAAATCTATATAAAAATAATAAAAATTAGAAACCGAAATGTCCAAAAATATATATATATCTCCAATATCTCAAAAATAAATGAGTACGTGTAGTCCAAAAATTGATTCAAGTGTAAAAACTCTCCGCTGCTTGCAAAAACTTGATTACCTCAAAAAAAAAAAAAAATATATACATAGTGCATTATCCTTTATAAATCAAAAATCTACATGTGAAATCACTCCAATAATATTCACCCAAGTGAAAAACAAGTGTATATATCAAACCACATACACATGCAATATGCAGTGCAAAACCATGCACGTGAAACACTCTACTGTGCTCAAAAAGCTCATAACACAGTGTACACTTCTATCAGGGTAAGGAGTAAATACCCTTACCAATATTCAAAACAATTTTTTCTTTGAACTCAATCCACAGAAATTGCCCGATGATATAAATCCTTTTGCAGATGTCCTCAGGGTTTGCTTTGATCCTATAGCACTGTATGGATCCTTCCACCCTAGCAACTCAGATATGTTTCCACCATATACGCCAGTCAGATGCCTTTTCCTTGTATTCTTTTTATTCCATTTTCTTTCTTTTTGGTTCTTTCTTTGGAGCAGGCTCATACGTAGGTCTTGCGGGAGAACTCACAGAGGTAATCCAAAATCCAAGGCATGGGTGAGGAACCCTTACATTTGCCTTGGATTTTGGATTACCTCTGTGAGTTCTCCCACAAGACCTACGTATGAGCCTGCTCCAAAGAAAGAACCAAAAAGAAAGAAAATGGAATAAAAAGAATACAAGGAAAAGGCATCTGACTGGCGTATATGGTGGAAACATATCTGAGTTGCTAGGGTGGAAGGATCCATACAGTGCTATAGAATCAAAGCAAACCCTGAGGACATCTGCAAAAGGATTTATATCATCGGGCAATTTCTGTGGATTGAATTCAAAGAAAAAATTGTTTTGAATATTGGTAAGGGTATTTACTCCTTACCCTGATAGAAGTGTACACTGTGTTATGAGCTTTTTGAGCACAGTAGAGTGTTTCACATGCATGGTTTTGCACTGTATATTGCATGTGTATGTGGTTTGATATATACACTTGTTTTTCACTTGGGTGAATATTATTGGAGTGATTTCACATGTAGATTTTTGATTTATAAAGGATAATGCACTATGTATATTTTTGGTTTTTTTTTTAGGTAATCACGTTTTTGCAAGCAGCAGAGAGTTTTTACACTTGAATCAATTTTTGGACTACACGTACTCATTTATTTTTGGGATATTGGAGATATATATATATTTTTGGACATTTTGGTTTCTAATTTTTATTATTTTTATATAGATTTTGGACTCTAATTTGAAATTATTATCTAATGAAGGGTTTCTTTCTTTCTTTTATTAATTTTCACTGAGCATATTTATGTTTATATTTGTGCACCTCTAAGGGTAGAGGTGAAGTGTGCTTAAAAAGAGTTGGGGAGAATTAGTGATTTATATCTACTAT